GATTGAACTTAGTTGAAAGTGGTAAAATCAAGAGTTATACTAGAAATAAATAATTGTTAGAGTTGCCTTGAGTTGAAAGTGGTAAAATCAAGAGTTATACTAGAAATAAATAATTGTTAGAGTTGCCTTGCCTTTGTAACAGATGGTAAGTCTTGATGTAACCAAAAGGGATTGCTATAGTTTTTTAAGACTGTTCAGAAGCTGTCTTGCTGATGATCTGAATTAGCCGAGCACATCTGAATTACCAGCTAGTTGCATTAATCTTTTTAATTTGTTTTCTATAATTTTTGATCTAGCTGCAGTGTATCATAGGTAGCTCTATTAGTTTTTTTCGTTTTTTCCCCAAATCAATATCCAAGAATATAGGCAACTGAATGTTACTATCTAACATAAGATACATCAAATTAAATGACTATCATTGAATGCTTGCTCGGAAAATTAATCTGGTACACTTCAAGAACGTATTAACGTCGCAAAAACTTTCTTGCTGTTCCTCTGCCTTGCATCTGATAGAGAAACGCAACATTACTTTGTTACCTTTGCTGTTAATAAGTACTTATCTTATTAATCACTTTGTTATTAAGGAGTTATATTCATCTGACTCTCAATGGGTGAAAAGCGGAAGACCCTGGTGTCGTGTAATGGAATTCATCTGTTTCTTACAATTCTGGCGATTCTTCTGGCACTGACAGTGACTTTCCTTCTAACGTATTTTCTTACCAAAAACCATTTCAATACTAAGGAAAAGAAGTAAGTTAATTTTCATAAAACTGAAATGGTCTCAGTCTATACCGTAAGAGCAAAAAATTGAGTGTAGCTTTGAACTAATAATTGTTTTGCTAAGCGCAGAGCACCATTTCTCTTGTCGTATTTCGCGTTCCTACCCCATAACTTTTGAACATAAATTCTATTTATAATTTATATTTTATATCCATAACTGATTATTTATGGTCCCAGAAACTGGCTTGTTATCAATTTAATGTATTTGGTTTTAGCATTTTATGAAGCAGTGATCTTGGAGGATTTCCGAACGTAATATAAAATATGACAAATACAATAATTTGCGTAATCATTCATAATCCATTATATGAAATTCCAATGCCTTTTCCTGGAGAAGGGGAGGCGGCCCTGCCTCGCGCACATTGTGACCGCAAGAAATTTTTTTCAGTTAGCGCTCGTAAACTTCTAAAGGTAAGACATAAGTTAATCAGGGCGCAAAGAGTTCTACAAACTTTATCAGTTTTGTGTGTATAATTTGAGTATTAATGAGTACACTTTGTTTTTCCATTCTCAATAGTTCGGAGACATCCACATATTTGAAAATCCACTTTT